CGTGTGGCTAGCTGTGCGTTGTATTTCGTGCCATCGGTTCGAGATCTTTGCTGCGTTGTCGATGCAACGATTGGCCAAAGCCTGGCGAATCATCGTTCACAAGTGTTTGGATTGGCTGATGGCAAACACCAAACAAAGGGTTAGGGGACAAAGACGAGCGAAGATCGTGGCTCGAGTCTGCCGTATATATAGTTTGACGGTTGGGACTGTGGTGTCGTGGCGGCCGTCTTCCACTCACGATATCATCGATCTACGATGCTGATGCTCACAGTGGTACGAGCGACTCGGTCGGTCAGTACCGGTTCCGCTGAGCGGCGATAGACGAGTTCTTTCAGGCACACACGTCCCTGTCCTTCTAGTGTTCCAGCCACGCGCGAAAAATAGAAAAATACTCGTGTACAGGTGACTCGAAACCTCCAACGCCGGGCGACATACGTTATTGGTTGCTCAGGGAACCGCGGCTTGGATGGCCACAGCACCTGCACTTGATGGCGAATACGAACGCAGTTGACTGGAGATGCACAAGTATCATGTGACCAGGGTGACATCATGCGACGCAATGTAGCGCAGAACTCCTTATTTAGCGCCTTCAAAAGGTTTGTAGCGGACATCATGCGTGTCAAATTGGCGGTTGTGTTCACTGGGCTGTGGCTCTTGTCAATATTTACGGGCATACCGGTACATACCCAGTACCGCAAACCTCATCATCTGTGCGGGATGGCGACCTCCACCTCGAAGCGTAGTATATTTTTGGGAAATTGAGAACGATGTCAACGATGAATGCGGCGTGGCATGATCGTGCTGAAGCCGTTTGTTGCTGTTGTTGTACCGACGGGACATGCGGAGTATTGTGCAAACGAGACAGACCAATCTTTTTAACGATGAACCCGCTCTCACACACAAGATGTAAGACATTTCGGCGACCACGCAGCAACTGCAGCTCCCTGTTGTGATAAGCCATGCAGGCGACGCGCGTCATTGACGCCTCAGTTCAAAGCACCCAAAATGAATGAGACAAGTTGACGTTCGAGAGATACTTTGATGCATTCCTCTGCACTTTTGCGATTGGAAACTCGAAGTGAATGCGGCTACACATCGTTTGTATGACAATGAAATTACCACTCGACCTTATTGCCTCGGCGTAAGGAGATCATTGGATGCTTTTGGCAACCTGTTTGTGGATCATACCGGTACAGACTCAAAGCAAGTGTGTGTTCAGCGCATGCTTCCTCTTCCTTCGCACGGGGAGCTTCCACGGATCTCAATACGAATTTCAAGCGACGGTATAACGGAGTCGGTTCAGAATGTAGGAATACCGGCAGAAAAGCAAACACAGTACACGACCACGGTAAAGTGAACATTTTGCGACGACAGAACGTAATAAACGCAGCTTGCTCAGTTGCAGGCACTGGGCATTTATGGGTACTGGGCACTGTTTTGGATAGTCACTGAAACGTTTCGAATTTGGCGTTGAACTTGGTAACGCGATTCGTTTGCCGTGGTAGGCAGATCACTGGCCACTTCACCAATGTCATCGAAAAACTTCGAAGGACCCATGTGGTATGTATAGCGCTACCAGAAATCTCCATTCGCATCTATCAGGTCACGTGCCAATGATTGGAGCTCGTAAGCGAAGAAGTGGAGTGCGATGCTTCCTCCGCGCCGCTTGACTCACCCGTTGCATGCCAACAGCCAATCCAAATCATTCTCAACAGTCATTCGCCAAATCCTGCCCAATCGCTGCGACGTATTCCCGCCAAAGATACCGATCCGTTGAACGCAAGGTCAACGTTCGCCGAGCGACGAGAAGGATGGACAGCGCTTGCGACCGTTCCTTCTCTTCACACTGCCATCAAGCCTAGCCCTCTCCATCGTACAACAACAGACCACATTGACATCACTATTCAATTTGCTCTCCAGCCTGCATGCACTCGCAGCCCGACTTCCACGCGGTCGCCACGCCCAAGCCCAACGAGCCGCTGCACCTCCAGCGTGATGTCGACGAGGTCGAGACACCGTCCAAGCTCGCCCTTGTGGCGCACTGGACCGCGGGTCTCCTCTTGGCCTTCTCGGTCTTTTCGATCACGGTGATCTCTACGCCGATGGTGGCGCCGGTCACGACGACGTTCTTGAACCCGCTCTGGAACATCAACCCCAAGGTCAAGAATTCGGGTCGTCCCGAAATGGTCACCGCCTCGTACTTCTTCTTTGGCGTGATCCTCCCGGTCGTTGTGGCCTTCTTGCTCGTGCGTCTCGTGAGCAAGGGCGCGTCGTTCCCGGTTCCGGGCCTCTCGCACCTGCTCAAGCGCAAGCCGCGCATCTTCGGGTCGCTCGTGAGCTACGGCGAGATCCTCTTCTTGCTCGTTGTCGCTGTCGGCAACATCATCTTTTTCTACTACTACTACAGCACACGCGTCAAGGCCGGCAGCAAGACCCAGGAGAAGATCAAGCTCGCGGCCAAAGCGCTCGGATATTCGGCCATGTACAACATGGTGTTCCTCGCGCTGCCCGCGTCGCGCCACTGCTTTTGGATGGAGTGGCTGGGCATTCCGTTTGCGCACGCCGTCAAGTACCACCGCTGGCTCGGTGTCGCGACCATCCTCTGCGCGACGGTGCACGTGGCCTTCTACATCCAAGTGTATGTGGCCGCCAACGACGCGATGACGCTGCTGCCGTGCTTTGGCTGCGACGTCGCCAAGGAAGGCAAGATGAACTGGGTCATCACCTTTGGCTGGATCGCGTTCTGGTGCATGCTCGTCATGGGCCTCACGTCGCTCCCGTACGTGCGCCGTCACTACTACAAGGTATTTTACGCGACGCACTTTCTCTTCATTCCCGCCACGGCCTTTGCGATCATGCACTACGCCAACATTGCCATCTACCTCTTCGCCACGATCGTGCTCTACATTGGCAACCGCATGATGTCGTCGGCCACGATTCAGGCGCCAGTCGTTGTCCAGAAGGCGGCCGCGCACCCGCACGACGTGACCGAGCTGACGTTCGAGTGCGCGACGTCGTACCACGCTGGCGACATCGTCTACCTCAAGGTGCCGTCGGTCTCCAAGACACAGTGGCACCCGTTCAGCGTCGCGTCAACGCCGCTGCACACACCCGGCTCGCTCACGGTGTACATCAAGTCGCGCGGTCAGTGGTCCGGTCAGGTGCACGAGTACATTCGTCAGTGCACGGCTTCCGGTATCGACCCCGTCGTGTACATGGATGGCGGCTACGTCTCGCCGGCGCCCGTCTCGGCATCGTACGAAAAGGTGGTCTTCATCGGCGGCGGCATCGGCGTCACCCCACTGCTCGGCCAGATCATGCACACGCTGCACGCGCAGTCGTGGCAGGACGTCCATTTGGTCTGGCACGTGCGCGATGCGCGCATGATGGCGCAGTTCCAGCAGTGGTTCCACGAAGCCACGAGTCTCTCGTCGCACTTGCACTTGCATCTGTTTGTGACTGCGACGTCGCCTGCGTCTGAGATTGCGAGCCGCAACCATGTGTTTGACCTCAAGAGCTCGACTGTGGCGCCGCGACCGTACGCCAACGTGTCGACGCTGCGCCAAGTGCTCTTGTTTGTCGCTGCGTTCTTTGGCGCTGGCTCGCTCTTTGTCGCGGTGCACTACAACACCAAGATCACGACCGCCGACCCGTCGTACTGGCCGCTGCAGCGCTTGGTGGAGTTTCTCGCGATCGTCATTGGCGCCTACTGGGCCTACGTCGTTGTCTTGGTCAAGCCGTACACGCCGATGCCGGTCGCGCGGTCGCAGGTCGACGAGTATCCCAAGGAGCCGACCATGTCGACTGACGCATTCGTCGAGCGCTACAACGTGCAGCAGGGTCGCATGGACTGGTCGCGCTTCTTTGCGGGTCTCGCGGACACCACGGCAGCGAGTGCGTCGATCGGCGTGTTTGTCTCGGGTCCCAAGACGCTCTTGCGCGCGATCGAAGCCGAGACGCACGCGTCGCGCTTTGACCTGCACCACGAAGAGTTTGAATTGTAGGCATTGATCTGGCTCGACAGCTTTTGAATCTTTTTGTAATTGTATTTGGAAATTACTAGTGACTTGGTAGTTTGTAGTATGAAACAGAACGGGATCTTGAGGTGGGTAGCATTCCTGTCGGTTACAAACAGGACGTGCATTGTATTTTGGGTCGTCAAATCTAGTTAAATATGATCAGTGCACTCCGCGTTGGGTGCATATTGGCCACGTCTCGGACAAGATTTTTTGCCGCCGCTCGGAATGCTACTACTAGCACAGCAGTGTCAAGGTGTACATCGTAAAATGTCGTCAAGCTGTCTTGGTACAGGTATCCCAGAGCACACACCTTTTGATCAATTTTCACACGTCCACGTTTACGGATCCCGTAAAAGGTGATCTTATTTACATTTCAAATTCTTCGTGGTGCACGGCAAAACGCGTCGAGTGCGCTTGCGCATCGATCGCACGCGAGAGCGTCTTGGGGCCCGAGACGTAGACACCGATCGTCGGCGTCGTCCAGCTTGCTGTCTTGCTGTCTCCAAGACCCGCGAAGAAGATGGACCAGTCCATGCGACCTCGCTGCACATGATAGCGCTCAATGAATGCCTCGGTCGTCATCGTAGGTTCCTTGGGTATGTCGTCGACCACCGACCCCGCGCTCGGTACAGGCGAGTACGGCTTGATCAAGACCACAAAGTAAGCCCAGTAGGCGCCAACAATGATCGCCGCAAACTCCATGAAGCGCTGCAGCGGCCAATATGCTGGATGAATGGTCGAGATCTTGTTGCCGTAATGGACTGCAACGAGGAGCGTACCGGCGCCGACAAAGGCGCCGACAAACAAGAGCACCTGGCGCAGCGTCGACACGTTGGCAAACGGTCGCGGGGGCACGGTACACGTCTTGAGGTTGAAGACGCGCTCGGTATCGGTGAAGGCGTCGCTCAACGATGCCGTCGTGACGTAGAGATGGAGGTGGAGGCGCGACGAGAGACTCGAAGCGTCGTGAAACCACTGCTGGAACTGCACCAGCAAGTTCACATCGCGCACATGCCAGATAAAATGAACGTCCTGCCACGCGTATGCATGCAGAACGTGGAGCGCCCGACCGAGGAGCGGCGTCGCGCCAATCCCGCCGGCGACGAACACGACCTTGTCGAACGACGACGGCACCGGCGCTGCCGGGACATACCCGCCGTCCATAAACACCACCGGCGCAACACCCGCGACGCTGCACTGGTGTACATATGCGTGCAGCTGGTTGGTCCAATCGCCGCGCGCCTTGATGTACACGGCGAGCGAGCCGGGTGTGTGCAGTGGCGACGACGCGACGCTAAAGGGGTGCCACTGCGTCGACGAGATGGACGGCACCTTGAGGTAAACGATGTCGCCCGCCGCGTACGAGGTCGCGCACGCAAAGACAAACTCGGTCACGCGATGACGATACGCGATAGCATGTTGCACGATGACGGGCGCGGATACCGTGGCCGACGACATCATGCGGTTGCCAATGTAGAGCACGATCGAGGTGAAGAGCCAGATGATCATACCGCCCCAGTGCATGACTGCGAAGGCTGTCATGGGAATGAAGAGAAAGTGCGATGCGTAAAAGGTCTTGTAGTAGTGGCGGCGCACATATGGCGTCGACGTCACGGCCATGACAAGCATACAAAAGAACGACAGCCACGCGAACGTCGCCATCCAATTCCGCATGCCGGTGGTCGCAAGGTTGCAATCGAAACACGGCACGAGACTCTGGAGGCGGTGCTTGGCCGCATACACTTGAATAAAGAGCACCGTGTGCAGTGCTGTGCAAAGCATGGTCGCGATTCCGAGCCAGCGGTGGTACTTGACACCGTGCGGGAATGGAATGCCAAGCCACTCCATCCAAAAGCAGTGGCGCGACGCGGGCAGCGCGAGGAACACCATATTGTACAACGCCGAGTAGCCCAGCGCCGTGCCAGCGATACCGATCTTGTCTTGGGTCGTACTCGTGGGCTTGACGCGCAGCATGTACGTGTACGCAAAGAAGATGATGTTGCCGCCGGTGACGAGCAGCAAAAAGAAAGCCTCGCCGTAGCTCACGAGCGATCGAAAGATGCGTGGCTTGCGCTGGAGCATGTGCGAGAACAATGGAATCGGAAATGTTGCGCCCTTGGTGACCAAACGCACGAGCAGAAAGGCCGCAAATACCGGAAGAATGATCGCGAAAAAGTGGTACGTATAGCTCATCATTTCGGCGTGGCCCGAGCCCTTGACGTTGGGGTCGATTCCCCAGAGCGGGTTGAAGAACGACGTCGTGATCGGACCCGTCATAGACGTGTACATCACGGTGAGGGCGAAGAAGGCGTAGACCATGATAGCGCCCACGGCCCAATGCGCCGCGAGCGCGACCTTGTTTTTCCAAGTCGTCGGGGCGGTCTCGTCGACATCCGAGTTGTTATGGAGCGCTTCATTTGGCTTGGGCGTCGCGATCGCGACGAAGTCGGGGTATGAAGCCATTCTGCAGAGCCGCGCTGCACAACACGAGGCCGAGATGGAGGCGAAATGGCAACTGAGCAGTGCGAGGCCACCGTCCTGTTTGTGCTGGTGGTAGAAAAAGCGACCCGTCGCCTATGTTCGAAAGGATGTCGTGGTGCAAAACCACAAAAACTCTGTCGTCCCGGTGGCAAAACCACAAAAAATTCTGTCGTCCCGGTGGTGTGGTGTGGAGGCGTCGTTTTGCAAATCTTGACTACCAATGCGACGCAGGGATTGGTCGAGACGCGTCCAATCGTTGTGTTTCGAGCATCCGATTGGCGGCTGAATTCAACTCACCCTGGGGTTGGGTAAAAACGGCTGTTTTTGAAACGGTCCTCTGACCACTTGGTCTGATGACTGGCATGTTGGTGGTCACAGTCGGCCGCCTGCAAGAAGATGCATGTGTGTAGGGAGCAGACGCTGTAGGTCGTGTGAAGAGCAAATGCAATTGCCGGTCGACAGAATCGAGTTGCCAGCGCGCCAGCGTCGCCCATGTAACGTCCCTGCCGTGTTGCCCGTTTCTCGCATGTTAACCCTAGCCCTTTGCCGGTTGGGTCTCATCCACTGCTTGATTGGCCGAGGCATGTCCAATCGTCGTCGTTCAAAGGTATGATTGGTCGATGGCAGATATCACAGCATCCGGTATCGCAGGGAATGGCGAGTTGGAAGCGACGCAGTGTGTGGTACTGATAGAATGAATAGCTCGCGGCACAACGACTTTTGGGCAGCAGAACCATCGTGGTGCCGCCACGTTCCAGTCGTGCGAGGCAACTCGAGTGGCGTCGCGCGCCTTTGTGGTGCCATGACCGCGGTGGTAGCCAACTCGGCTGCCAAATCTAATCAATGTCCTGAGACTTGGCTTAGCCAAACCTCTCTTGGGCATTGACCAACCCACATCATCGTACAGTAACAAACAACGCCATTGGGCGTTTCATATTGGGGGTACGCCTGCCACTCGTTCCGGTCGCAAGTGTCCTCCGCGCCATTAGGGACAGCGTGCATGCCGGAAAGGACGAAGAGCCTCAAGAATGTGATAGGCTGTTCACGACCTTTTTGATCAGCAGACGAGGCACGATCGATACCGCTCAGTCCAACTACTTTGGGTGCGTGTCCAGGCTGCAATTGTCGAATCTCCGCCACAGATGTGCGCAAGCCTCGAAAGCTCGCAAGCGATCGGGCCCAGAATCATACGTACTGAATGCTTGGCCCCAGCTAATGCTAGCAGCTACGTTGTTTCATGGAAATAACGAGAAGCTGTACCACGAGTTTGTAGTACTCTTGGTGGCACTTAGCATGCATGTTGCATGTTGGTGGATGCAACGGTACGCGCTCTAACGTGCCTCGAACGAAGGGACACATGGGACTACACGGCTTCGGTCCGACCACGCATGCTGCTTTTTGCGTACCTGAGATTGCCGGATGCGACGTCGTTTCCCAGCATGGGAATTCATTTCGTCTCGCTTTCCCAGCCCTGTGGGCAGCGTTCAACGTTTTGGACCATCCACACGAGTGTGGGCTACGAGTGCGTACGAATAGAGGACGAGTACTGTGGTCCATTGGGTGGCCACGTGCGTTCGTTGTACTGATGCGTTCCAGCCGCATCTCTGGATGGGAAGTCTGCATCGTATACGTTATATTTGTTTATATGACTGCTGCCGACGAGGAAGAATATGTCGTCGTGTAAAGCAGCACACGTTGAGTGCAACAGCAATTGTTGGCACCGTGGGCCGTACACATTCTCGCCGTTGACGTCACGGGCGCCCGCGAGCTGCGATGCATGCTCGACCAACGAATTCGAGGCTGCGAAGAGACAAGGAAGGCGCTCGTCGAATACTCCTCCCCGAGTACAGCTGAACTACTTGTGAACAGTGCTGATATTATTCTGGTACCATGAAGAGTGTGAGCTGAAAACCAAAACGCCAAGTGAAAAAGATTGGGCAGAGGCGATGCCGCAACTTGCAGGACGGAATCTTGGCCGATGTTTCAGATAGATAACGCCACCATTTACAAATAAGTAGATCCTATCAGCTGTCTCAATGCCACTTCTTCGTGAGCACAGCAGTCTTCACACCGCGATTCGCTGCTTCCAGATACCGATCGCTTTCGAAATCGAAGCTCCTTGCAGCCAAATAAGACGGCCGTGCACCTGTACATTCTGGGTTTCGCTCAACTATGCAATGCCATGCGGCAATTGTCAACGTCCCATGTGGCACTTGACGCCAGGGCCAACTTGACTCTCGGCGCGCTCGGGGGCCCGCCATTAGCCAATCCGTGAGAATCTTGATGCTGATTGGTTTATCTATAACCAATCCGATTTGACCATCATCCAGAAAGATACCGTACCGGAGGCTGCGAGAAATCTCTACCCGCAGGAGCAACGTGAGGCTGTCAAGCAGCTCCACTCAAAATACATGCAAGCGCCGGGCCAACAGTTCAGCATCGTCTTCAACAAATCGGCGACTGCCAGGCAAAGCTTGGTGGCATTTGAGAGGCTCACATTTCAATTTGCTTCGTCGCCAGCATGGCCTTCCACGCCATCTCAACGCCAACGCAACATGTGCAGTTGCACGTGGATGCCAAGCCAGCGCCGCCCAAGTTTGCGCTCGTCCCGCACATCGTCGCGGGGTTGCTCATGCTCTACTCCATCTTTGCCATCACGGTGATCTACACGCCGATGACGGCGCCCATCACGACGTCGTTCATCAACCCGCTCTGGGACATCAACCCCAAGGTCAAAAACTCTGGCCACTCGGAGATGGTCAACTACACGTACCTCTTCTTCGCCGTGATTTTGCCGCTCTTTGTCGCCTACTTGATCGTCCGTTTGGCCACTCGAGGCGCGACGTTCCCGGTGCCGGCGCTCTCGCACATGCTCCAGCGCAAGCCGCGCTTCTTGTGGTCGCTTGTGAGCTACGGCGAGGTCCTCTTCTTGCTTCTCGTCGTCGTCGGCAACGTCGTTTTCTTCTACTACTTTTATAGCCCGCGCATCAAGCCCACGACCAAGACGCAGGCCAAGATCGAAACCGCGGCCAAGACGCTCGGCTTCTCGACCTTGTACAACATGGTGTTCCTCGCGCTGCCCGCGTCGCGCCACTGCTTTTGGATGGAGTGGCTCGGCATTCCGTACGCCCACGGTGTCAAGTACCACCGCTGGCTCGGTATCGTCGTGATCCTCTGCGCGGCCGTGCACACGGCGTTCTACGTCCAAGTGTTTATCGCTGACAACGAGTCGCTCATGCTGCTGCCGTGCTTCAACTGCAACGTGGCCAAGGAAGGCAAGATGAACTGGATCAACACATTTGGCTGGCTCTCGTTCCTGAGCATGTTTGTCATGGGCCTCACGTCGCTCCCGTACGTGCGCCGCCACTACTACAAGGTGTTTTACTACACGCACTTTCTCTTCATTCCCGCCACGGCCTTTGCGATCATGCACTGGGGCAACATTGCCATCTGGCTCTTCGCCACCATCGTGCTCTACATTGGCAACCGCATGCTCTCGTCTGCGACCATCCAAGCGCCGGTCGTCATCCAGAAGGCCGCCGCGTACCCGCACGAAGTGACCGAGTTGACCTTCGAGTGTGCTACGTCGTACCAAGCCGGCGACGTTGTCTACCTCAAGGTGCCGTCGGTCTCCAAGACGCAGTGGCACCCGTTCAGCGTTGCGTCGACGCCGCTGCACACGCCTGGCTCGCTCACGGTGTACATCAAGACGCTCGGTCAGTGGTCCGGCCAGGTGCACGAGTACATTCGTCAGTGCACGGCTTCCGGTGTCGACCCCGTCGTGTACATGGACGGCGGGTACGTCTCGCCCGCACTCGTTCCGGCGTCGTATGAAAAAGTGGTCTTCATCGGCGGCGGCATCGGTGTCACCCCGCTCATGGCCCAGATCATGCACGTCCTGTACACGGCGCCGTCGCAGGAAGTCCATTTGGTCTGGCACGTGCGCGACCTCCGCATGATGACGCAGTTCCAGCAGTGGTTCCACGAAGCGACGGGTCTCTCGTCCAACTTGCGCCTCCACCTCTTTGTGACCAAGTCTTCGCCGCCCGCGGAAACGGCGGTCGCCAAGCAAGTGTACGACCTCAAGAGCTCGACTGTGGCGCCGCGGCCGTA